CGACTGCCCACCTGGTGAGAGGTCAGCCTGGGAAAAGCTGCAGGCCCAGACCCCACATGCCACAGTCGGACTTCCTCCCAGTTTAAAAGGCAAATCTCCCCAAGTGAAAGGGGAGAAGAGGTTATCTTCTGCAATTGGTTATCTTTCTGTGATACTTTGTGTGACTATCTGACAACAGGTTTCACCTGGCAAGGGAGAGGACCTAGGAGGTCTGTAGGTTGTTTTGAAGACAGATGAGAATGGGTCCAGGGAAGCTATAGGGAGAGGAAAGGCAAGGTGGGAAGAAGTTGTCTTCCTGAGAGAGCAGTTCTTTGACTTCTGTACCACTAGACTCTTGAATTGTGGGTTTCACATTCTACTCTCAGGCAGTGTTTTTTTGTTGTTGTTTGGTTTTTGTTTTTTTTCCAATTTTCCTGATCCTAAGGACTCTCCTGGAGTACTTGCTAAAAGTTCAGATTCCTTGGCCTCTGTTCCACAGACGCCGCCTCAGTGTGAAGTTGGGTCCTTGAATACTGGGTAATTTTAATAAGCGTCCAGGTGATTCTGGGGAACGCTGTCAGATCAGGACTGGGTTCTGATATTTTGCTCTAGATTTGTCCTCCATTATAAACATAAATATCGGAAGTATTGGGAACCTTAACTGCATAAACAGAGCTTTATTTCAAGAAAGCGTGAATGTTCATTTCACCTGATAATAATGCTTTGGTATTGATTCTTTTGAATGTTTTTTAATTGTTTAAAACACTGAAGTATTAGTTCATAGTAACTATTAAAACATCAGTTCTGTTCATCTTTGCAAACAGAACTACTGAATGGCCTTTTGTTTGTTGTAATGGCCCTGCCATATATTTGACCTGGACTAATACTATGTGATTTAAAGTTATCTGGGACTTCCGGGAAGATGGCGGAAGAGTAAGACGCGAAGATCACCTTCCTCCCCATAGATACACCAGAAATACATCTACGCGTGGAACAACTCCTACGGAGCACCTACTGAACGCTGGCAGAAGACCTCAGACCTCACAAAAGGCAAGGAACCCCCCACGTACCTGGTTAGGGCAAAAGAAAAAACTAAACAGAGACAAAAGGATAGGGACGGGTCCTGCACCAGCGGGAGAGAGCTGTGAAGGAGGAAAAGTGTCCACACACTAGGAAGCCCCTTCGCGGGTAGAGACTTCGGGACGCGGAGTGGGGGAGCTTGGGAGCTGCGGAGGAGAGCACAGCAACAGGGGTGCGGAGGGCAAAGCGGACAGATTCCAGCGCAGAGGATCGGGCCGACCGGAACTCACCAGCCGAGGGGCTTGTCTGCTCGCCCGCCGGGGCGGGCGGGACTGGGAGCTGAGGCTCCGGCTTTTGTCGGAGCGCCGGGAGAGGACTGAGGTTGGCTGCGTGAGCACAGCCTGCAGGGCGTTGGTGCGCCGCGGCTAGCCGGGAGAGAGTCCGGGGAAAAGTCTGGACCTGCCGAAGAGGCAAGAGACTTTTACGTCCCTCTTTGTTTCCTGGTGCACGAGGAGAGGGGATTAAGAACGCTGCTTGAGAGAGCTCCAGGGACGGGCGCGAGCCGCGGCTAAAAGTGCGGAGCCCAGAGACAGACATGAGACGCTAAGGCCGCTGCTGCCGCCGCCAGGAGGCCTGTGTGCGAACACAGGTCACTAGCCACACGCCCTTCCGGGGAGCCTGTGCAGCCCGCCATTGCCAGGGTCCCGGGATCCAGGGACAACTCCCCCGGGAGAACGCACGGCGCGCCTCAGGCTGCAACGTCACGCCGGCCTCTGCCGCTGCAGGCCCGCCCCACACTCCGTGACCCTCCCTACCCCCCGGCCTGAGTGAGCCAGAGCCTCCGAATCAGCGGCTCCTTTAACCCCGTCCTGTCTGAGCAAAGAACAGACGCCCTCCGGCGACCTACACGCACAGGCGGGGCCAAATCCAAAGCTGAGCCCCTGGGAGCTGTGAGAACAGAGAAGAGAAAGGGAAATCTCTCCCAGCAGCCTCAGAAGCAGCGGATTAAAGCTCCACAATCAACTTGATATACCCTGCATCTGTGGAATACCTGAATAGTCAACGAATCATCCCAAATTAAGGAGCCCTGTGGATGAAAGGCTCTTGGTGCTGCAGCCAGGAGTCAGTGCTGGGCCTCTGAGGTGGGAGAGCCAACTTCAGGACACTCGTCCACAAGAGGCCTCCCAGCTGCACATAATATCAAACAGCAAAAATCTCCGAGAGATCTCCATCTCAAGGCCAGCACCCAGCTTCACTCAACGACCAGCAAGCTACAGTGCTGGACATCCTATGCCAAACAACTAGCAAAACAGGAACACAACCCCACCCATTAGCAGAGAGGCTGCCCAAAATCATAATAAGTCTACAGACACCCCAAAACACACCACCAGACGTGGACCTGCCCACCAGAAAGACAAGATCCAGCCTCATCCACCAGAACACAGGCACTAGTACCCTCCACCAGGAAGCCGACACAACCCACTGAACCAACCTTAGCCACTGGGGACAGACACAAAAAACAACAGGAACTACGAACCTCCAGCCTGCAAAAAAGGAGACCACAAACACAGTAAGATAAGCAAAATGAAAAGACAGAAAAACACACAGCAGATGAAGGAGCAAGATAAAAACCCACCAGACCTAACAAATGAAGAGGAAATAGACAGTCTATCAGAAAAAGAATTCAGAATAATGATAGTAAGGTTGATCCGAAATCTTGGAGATAGAATGGACAATAGAATGGACAAAATGCAAGAATCAGTTAACAAGGACCTAGAAGAACTAAAGATGAAACAAGCAACAATGAACAACACAATAAATGAAATTAAAAGTACTCTAGATGGGATCAATAGCAGAATAACTGAGGCAGAAGAACGGATAAGTGACCTGGAAGATAAAATAGTGGAAATAACTACTGCAGAGCAGAATAAAGAAAAAAGAATGAAAAGAACTGAGGACAGTCTCAGAGACCTCTGAGACAACATTAAACGCACCAACATTCGAATTATAGGGGTTCCAGAAGAAGAAGAGAAAAAGAAAGGGACTGAGAAAATATTTGAAGAGATTATAGTTGAAAACTTCCCTAATATGGGAAAGGAAATAGTTCATCAAGTCCAGGAAGCACAGAGAGTCCCATACAGGATAAATCCAAGGAGAAATATGCCAAGACACATATTAATCAAACTGTCAAAAATTAAATACAAAGAAAGCATATTAAAAGCAGCAAGGGAAAAACAACAAATAACACACAAGGGAATCCCCATAAGGTTAACAGCTGATCTTTCAGCAGAAACTCTGCAAGCCAGAAGGGAGTGGCAGGACATATTGAAAGTGTTGAAGGAGAAAAACCTGCAACCAAGATTACTCTACCCAGCAAGGATCTCATTCAGATTTGATGGAGAAATTAAAACCTTTACAGACAAGCAAAAGCTGAGAGAGTTCAGCACCACCAAACCAGCTCTACAACAACTGCTAAAGGAACTTCTCTAGGCAAGAAACACAAAAGGAGGAAAAGACCTACAATAACAAACCCAAAACAATTAAGAAAATGGGAATGGGAACACACATATCGATAATTACCTTAAATGTAAATGGACTAAATGCTCCCACCAAAAGACACAGATTGGCTGAATGGATACAAAAACAAGACCCATATATTTGCTGTCTACAAGAGACCCACTTCAGACCTAGAGACACATACAGACTGAAAGTAAGGGGATGGAAAAAGGTATTTCATGCAAATGGAAACCAAAAGAAAGCTGGAGTAGCAATTCTCATATAAGTTATATATATATATATATATATATATATGTAGTTTGCTTGAGTGCAGTGTTTTTTGTTTTCTGTACTGAATTCATTAGCATGGGTCGGTATAAAATTTAGCATAGGTCAATATGTAATTTGTAAACTAATAAGGTCTTAAAAGTGAGGAATTAAGTCTTTTAAATTTAATTATTTATTGTAAAGAGCAGAATAGCATACATAAACAGGTGCCTAAGGAAAACTTGTATTCTAATATGGAACTCTCATAAACACCTTTTTTTTTTTTTCTTCTAACGGTATGATAGTAGGCCATTTGATTATTTTTATGGCTTTAACTTTACAACAATGAAATATTCGTAAATTTTAAAAAGTATTTTTCTTTATTTGATGCGGGTGGGATACTGGCGAAATGAAAGGTCAAACACCTATTGAGGAATCCATACTTGTCTATATATTGTGTACTTTTATTTCAAGAACTGATTTAAAATTCCTAAAAGGATGCTATAATAAGTTATTATGCCATTTTACAGACTGAATTAAGTGAATTTCAGGGAGGTATGAAACTTGCCTAAGGCTATCCAGCTACCAAGCGGTAGAAGTGAGAATTAAATCCAGGTATACCTATCAAAAAAAAAAACAAAACAAAAAAAAAAAAAACAAAACAAAACATTATGCTATATATATGGAATCTAAAAAAAAAAAAAAAAAAGTGGACATGAAGAACCTAGGGGCAAGACGGGAATAAAGACACAGACCTACTAGAGCATGGACTTGAGGTTACAGGGAGGCGGAAGGGTAAGCTGGGAGAAAGTGAGAGAGTGGCATGGACATATATACACTACCAAATATAAAATAGATAGCTAGTGGGAAGCAGCCGCATAACACAGAGAGATCAGCTTGGTGCTTTGTGACCACCTAGAGGGGTGGGATAGGGAGGGTGGGAGGGAGGGAGACGCAAGAGGGAAGAGATATGGGGATATATGTATATGTATAACTGATTCACTTTGTTATAAAGCAGAAACTAACACACCATTGTAAAGCAATTATACTCCAATAAAGATGTTAAAAAAAAAATAATAAAAAGTTATCTGGAATTTAGAGTTCTGTAATTGATAGCAACTGTTTTTTATAGTTAGAACTTTTATAATGAGGAAATAGCTACTATTTCATCATCACAGTCATTTTAACAGTTTTAAATGTAAATTAAAAATTTCAGTGATTGTATTTTTTCTTTTCAGATAGGAACCAAGGCTTTAACCTTCTCAGCTCATTGGCTGGAGCAAACCATAGCACTGGATCAGCAGAGACCTGCCACTCAGAGGTAGAGATTTTTCCTGGATGTTTTCCCTTCTTTGGCTTTAATTTCTACTCGTCATTATGAATCTTTACACCATTCATCATTTTCTCCTTTCCATTTAAGAAGTGGCAGAGAATATTATCAATAGATAAAAGGAGAACCTAAAACAGCCCTCTTTATGCCTGCTAGCTGTTAAGAGCAGGCTAGTTCAGCATTAAAGCAGTAAGCCCTTTCAAGATGTTTGCAATTTGGGCTGTTCCATGTGTTTTTGCTAGAGTGCTTTTAAAAATGTGCTAGGATTTCCTTAAGGCATAAAGTTGCCCCCAAATCTTTAAATATAAAATAAAATTAGTGGTTCTTTTTAAATACTTCCTGTGTCCTGTACAATCTGAGGCAAGGTCCTTGCCCTTAATGAGCTTAAATAGGCTGATTTCAACCCTCTGTCCTCAAGGACTTTGGTCCAGGTCTGCCTTGGTTGGCAGGTTGGAACCACGAACACATTACGTAGTGCCACATTGTCTTTCTGGGACCTTCTTCCTCAGTCTGAGCTGTTTGTGATAGGATCTTATACATTTTCAGATTTTGAATAAAACATGATCTTAAAGCAAACAGTATGTTTTAATAGTCAATAGCAAAATCATAATACTTTTTAATTTTTCCTTGAGGAGAAACACTGCTGAATTAGTGAATTTTTACCCTTTTGTTTAATGTGACCTTGATCCTTCTTCCGTCTCTCTTTGTGTCTTGCTCCTATTACTGCTTCTCCAAAGCTAACCAGTGGGTGGAAGTGCGAGCCTTTTTGGATTTAGTTCGGAAGCAACCTCCTGTTAAATTGTTGCTTGTGTGTATTTTCCTCACCAGCAGCCCCAGTTGCCAGCAGCAGAGAGGACTGAACCCCTCTTGGATCGAGGTGGTGCCTCTAATACAACAGACACTCAGGTCGATAGCATCGTGGGTAAGCACCTCTCTGGCTGCTAAGTGACAGCTCTGTGGAACTTGCAGTAGCCCATGTATTGGGGTGTAAATCATCCAAGGGGAAATTGACTTTAAATAAGGACGAGGGAAGGAAGTTGAGAGTACACCCCAAATGAATGTTAGCCTTGTGGACGGCTGTCAGAAAAAGGAGGGAGAGTAAATACGTTACAAATTGTGGGCACCATTGTCCTGCTGATTCTGTCAGCAGGATCGTGATTACGATCATCTTAGCTAGAACAGACAGAACCAGGTGGTGAAACAGCTTTATATCTCCATATTACACAGTTTTTTCATAGTATTTCACAGTAGTCAGAATTGATGGTAACAAGAATAATACAGCTTTATAAGCCCTCCCGTATCTTTTTAAAATTCTTTTATGTCCACATTCTCATTTGGTAATGAAGTTTGGCAGAGAAGTTATTTTACAGAGATGAAGATGAGGCCCAGAGCAGTTTAATAACTTGTCCAAGGGCACCTAACAAGAAGGTCCTACAGCTGAAACTGGAATCCAGTTTGCTGCCCAAAAGCCAGAAAGCCAAGGAGCTTAGTTAACAATAACTATAAACGTTCTTTTGTCAGGGAGCTACTGAAATCACTACTTCTTTTTATGCCACAGAGGGCCCATGTGCAGTAATAAGTTTTAAAAACTTTTTTTTTTCTGTTTGTAAGATAATCCATGTAGAAAACTTAAATGATTGGTTATAGAAACATATTAAGAAGGAAAAATTGGTATATAATTTCTCTCTAGTTTATTCAACCTCATCCTCGCAGTTGAACCCTTCATATTAGCTTCTAAACCTGCTAAAATCTCTGCCATGAAAACAAACCATTGACCACACTGAAGGAGGTGGGGAAAATAACTAACTTAAAGAATTTGGGAAAATGGTATTCTGACTGGATACCATGAGGCCAAAACCAAAAAGAAATGAACAGAAATCCTGCACTCTATTTAATAAATTTGATTCTTACAGGGGTATGGGTTCGAAATTCTGAATATTTATATGTAATATATTTTATATATATTACAGTTGAAAGAATAAGAAAATATAGCATAGATAATGAGAGCTAGGTTTCTCACTGTCAGAGAAAGAAGTTACAAATAAGGAAAGGGGAAGGCTGGGATGAACCCTTTGGTACTGAACTAGAATTGAAGGTATCAGTATGAACTCTTGGGTTTTAAAATATAGTTAGAGCAGTAGAGAAATAAATATAGATATGTGTATGCATGTGTAAATACATATATATATTTCCTAGCTCTGTCCACTGGGAGGACCTAGAAGCAACAATAATACCAGTGGACATATTTAGTACTTAGATCTTGGTTTCTAAATACTATTCTCCAAGAAAAGGTACCAGGGCTACTTGGAGAAGTGGTTGATTCAGGGCTGGGGCAGGAAAAATGCAGGATGAACGTGGAGCATCATGGTGCCAGAAAGTAAGGAAGTGCTCAAGAAAAGAATGGGGGCATGTTGAAAGGGCACAGGAACCCACCTGCAAGAGCTTCCAATGGCTAAAGCTGGAACAATTTGACCAGCAAAGTAAATTAACATAGTATTGGGCTGTAACCCATAGAATAAAATACGTATCCATGAATCCATACTAATTTAAATAAATAATTGAATAAATGCATAACTGGAAAAGAAAAGGCTGCTCCTCCTTACAGAAGAATTCCAATTAATACATGTAGACATTATGAGGGAAATAGAAAATTACCCTTAGCCACACACCACAGTAATAGTTGTCACAGGCAAGATCCACTGATGAATGGTGAAATTAGTAGATGAAAGTTTAAGAAGAAACACGACATTTCCATAGTCAAAAGGTATCTTTCCCAAGTTATTTATTACAAAGGGGAAAATAGTAACTTTATACTGGAAAAACCTGGCAGATACCACTTTAAGTGATGAAGGTTACATCACCAGTAACAGGACATATTGACATCATCTCCCTCCAATATGATGCACTGAAAGGGCACTCACTTCTGTGGTGTTCCTGCCAAAGGTCCATAACCTCAATCTAATAATAAGAAAACATCAGACAAACCCAAATTGAGGGATATTATACAAGCTGGCCAGTGCTCTTCAGAAGTGTCAAAATCATGAAAGACAAGGCAGGACTTAGGAACTGTCACAAATTGGAGAAGACTAAGGAGATTTGACCACTAAATTCTGTGTAGAATCCTGAATTGGATCCTGGAACAGAAAAAAGGATATTAGTGGAAAAACTGATGAAGGTTGAATGAAGTCTGTAGTTTAGTCAGTAGCATTGTTCTATTATTAACTTTGTGATGTTTATAATTGTACCATGTTTATATAAGATGTTAACACTGAGGGAGGGTGGGGGAAGGGCATATCGGAAGGCTCTGTACTATTTTTGCAACTTTTTTGTAAGACTACAATTATTTCAAAATTCTTTAAAAAGAAAAAACCAAACAAACAAAAGTAAAACACTTCCTCAACCCCACATCTCCCTCCTCTCTTTACTTATTTCCATTCCTCAGTTCATTCCCATCTAGCTCTTGCTCCCATTTTCCATGAAAACAGCTCACCAATGACTTCCATGCCACTCAGTCTAATAGATGTCCTCCAGCCCCCATCTTGACCTCTTGGCGGCATTCAGTATTATGAATCAGCCCCTTTCTGAAACCTCATTTTCTCTTGACTCACCCAGCACATCTCCTGATGTTCTTCCTACCTCTCTGATGAGTCCTTCTCTTGCTTTGGAAGATTACACTCCTTTACCCAGCCTTTAAATAGCGCCATTCCTCAATGTTCCATCTAAACTCCTCTTCCAAACCTGTATTTAAGCATGAAGTGATTCTGTCCACATCCACAGTTCAGGTATCATGTATACAGATTAATCACAAATTTTTTTATCTCTAGCCCTATATACCAACTGCCACCATGGCATGCCCATTGAACTAAAGCAAATTTATTAACCAAATGCATCTTTAACATCAAATTATCTGTATGACATTATAGTAGATGTAAAGAATTATGTTATCATCCTTGTCTTCAAGGAGCTTATAGTCTAAAAATGCAGAGACAGGCCTTGTAATGTAATGTAATGGGTAAAGTCATGAGCTTGGAATCCTGGACAACTGGGTTCAAATCATGGCTCTACCACTGGTAGTGAGATGACCTTGAGTAAGTTATTTAGCATCCGTGGGCCTTAGTTTCCCCTTCTATAAAATAGGGGTGACAAATCTTTCCTCACTTCGCTGTTGCAAAAATGAAATGGAATCATGTAAGTTAACGCACTCAGTGGTGGGGACAAAGCAAACTCTCTCTCTTACTGTAGTATTTGTTATAGTAACAGTAGACAGATGCTAGCATACAGAGTAGTGTATGCCAGTGCCAAGACAGCTCTGTAAACACTAAGTGTGGGACAAATCCTAAGGAAGGAGACCTGTGAGCTGGGACGGTCAGGGAAGACATCCTAGAGGTGACTGGCCTGGAATGGAGGCTGAGTGAAAATTCTGATTAAAAACTAAGTTTGATAAAGAAGCCACATGCCGAGGTAGAAATAGTAAAGGATTTGTGGTAAGAAAAAGGAATTTAAATGGCTCTACCTCTGAATGGCTGTAATTTTAGATGAGTTCATTTTTAAACTCAGCTTGCTTCACGTGTAAATTGTGGACAGTGGTATCTGTCCTAACCACCTTCTATGGTTGTCAATGACAGATGTGAAAATATTTGTTGACCAGTAAAATATGGTATAAATTTCAAGCATTTATTGAATCTGTGGACCTTAGTGCAGGGCATGACCTTTAGAATTGGAAACATGTAAGTCTGAATCCAAGGTCACACTTATTAGCTGTGACCTTGAGCAAGGTCACTTGATCTCTGAGCTCTAGTTTTCTCTAGAAAAGTGGAAACAGAATTCCTTGCCTCGTTACAGTGTTTTACGGATAAAATGAGTTACTGTTCATTTGTGAGGGCCCACTACCAGCCAAGCAGGATGCAGCACCGTGAGCTGTACAGCTGGTCCCCAGTGGGCACTCACTCAGTGGTAACTTTCATCAAAGCCAGATTGATTGCTTTAGGATTCTGTGTACTTAGCACATACATAAATAATGTGTGGCGAATCGTTATTTCAGATCCCACGTTAGACCTGGATATTCAAGAACTAGCCAGTCTTACTACAGGTGGAGGAGATTTGGAGAATTTTGAAAGACTATTTTCAAAGTTAAAAGAAATGAAAGGTAATCGGATCCATTGTGTCTAACAGATTCCCGTATTGATGCTCCTCTATTTTATATAGTAGGATTTTACTTTGTAACTGCTGATTGCATTCCATGCTCTGGCCTCATCTGAGAAACTTGGGTACTGGAGGACTGTGCCATCCTCTGGTAGTAAAAATTTCCTTGGGAAAATTTTCCTCTTTCTTCATTCTTTTTCCTCTTACTTTCCCTTCTTTTGCCTGTCTCTGTTTCTTTCAGTGTGTCTCATTAACATGGAATCAGTAAGATCCCTACCAATTTACTCACATCATTCTCATCTGGAAAATTTGGAAGACTTAAACTTCCTAACAGCTATAATGACTACACCATAAATGTGTCTGTGAAACCCATTTCCCACCTTCTAGTGTTAGAACATCCATGCATTCCAGATTGTCCCGTGCTATTAGATGAATTTCTTAAGATATATTTTCCCCCTAGACAAGGCTGCGACGCTTCCTCACGAGCAAAGAAAGTTGCATGCAGAAAAGGTGAGAAAATCAGTCAGGTATTTATTGAGTACCTACAGCAGGTCCAGTGCTATAAGAATGGTATATCACACTTGTTTACTTCTAAAGCGTCTTACTGTGAACTTTTTGTTGGCTATTAACTTATAACTAATTGAATATTTACCCAGTAGTGATATAATTGCTGCAGTCAAACCAAGATTTTCCAGTGTATGTTGAGTGACGTGGAACATTGAGACTCAGGATGTTTGCCTTCTTAGCTGTTAGGCTGGAAAACGCTTAGTTATTTGGTTTGGTTTGGTTTGGTTATTACCAACACAACACGTTCTTGGCAGGAAATGTATATGGTTTATGGTATTCCATTGTAGAAATGTGTCATAATGTATCCAGTTTCCGTTTTGGACATTTAGGTCATGTGCCTTTTTTTTTCTTCTGTAGTGAAGCTGTGTGTATCCTTATACATCACCTGTGTAAACAGCTCTGATTATATCCTCAGTAAAAAGTCTAGGAGTAGAAGTCATGGGGTCAGGGTGTTCAGGGGGTTTTGACAGATGTTGCCAGAGCGCTGGAGGGCAGGGTGTAGAATTTTAAGTCTTAATCAGTTCTGTGTATAACATATGAAACGAGCTGAAATTCGGTTGTTGCCTACAGTTTGTTGCTTGCTTCTCTCCACAGGTGGCCAAAGCTTTCTGGATGGCAATTGGGGGAGACAGAGATGAAATTGAAGGCCTTTCGTCTGATGAAGAACACTAAATTATTCATGCTAGGGCTTGACTACCAAAGACCCTAGCTCCCTCTACCTGAGCTACTTCCCTACTCAACCCAGTCATCTTTTGCTGAGCTCCCCATCATCATGTTGGCCACCTGACTTGTTTATAGGCTCCCGTGAATTTTAGTTTTTAGTAGGGGGTAAAGCAGACATCTCTCCTCCCTCAGAATATCGTGGGGGAGTGAGAATGACAATAAGGAGTGAGGAATTCTCAAATACACTTTTTTGCTCTAGGAACAGGGGTGGGATGAGGCTCCAAGGCCTGTGTGATGGGACCAAGTTAAAGGCGAAGAACCACCAGGCCATTCCTGGTCAGTCTTCTAAGCAGCGTTCCCCACGTTCACACGTGATCACTGCAGATCGGGAGCCTGTGCCACCTTTCCTGGGTTCTGGATTCTTTCTGTCAAGGAACTTGCTGCTCTGAGGTTTGATGCTTTTGATGGGAGGAAAGATTTAATCTGTGCTGTAGTATAGACTATGTGCCAAAGCCACTGGCCCTCAGGTTAGTCTCTAGCTGGAAAAAAAAAAAAAAAATGCATCTGGGCATTTCATTTGAAGTACAGTATCTGAGCTCATGCTAGAAAGTATTGAGAAACCATTGTGAATTTTTAGACTGTAGTAAATGATGCAAGGGTTTCCCACTCTGGTAAGGATGAAATAAACCCTCCTCTACCAAGTGGTGGGTCTGTCGGTATGCGTGTGTAAGAGAGAGAGAAGCTTAAGGAATTCCCTCTGTAGGCCACTGAGACGGTATGATCATATCCTGAGATTTTTGCATTAGTGTTACCGTGGAGAAAGCTTTCTTAGAGTTCGCTACTTGAGATGGCAGAGCTGTGTTGTCACAACTCATACCCTCAAAACAAGGCAAGTTTCCTTTTCTCTTTCTGAAAGCCAGAGATCACTGCCAAAATAGTAACACTAAGGAGTGGGCTTGGTGGGAAAGGATATGAAATGTTAGGCAGTGAATCCCTGAGTACCTTGTGTTACTTCCAGGGCTGGGTGGGTCACCTCTAGGGGAACTGATCACCAAGGGGAACGTTTCCAGAGGAAGAGTGGGAAATAGAGCAAATGTAATCCTTATTTCTGTTTTCGTAGGCACTTTGTAATGCATGTCATGAGCCTGTACTGTGGTAGTCACTGCCATGGCTCTAAACTGGCTCAGGGCACATGGCCTGAGAACTGCCGCTGGCCTAGTGTGGGTAGGAACCTCTTAGGTCACCAGCAGAAGCAAGTTTCAGACACCTTTGTGCAACACCTTCTAAGCACTGCAGAACCTGACAGATGGCAGAATGACTGGAATGCTCCAGGTTCCGGGCCAGGGTGACTGCAGGAGGGAAGGTTTCAGTGATTGGAGCCATTCCAGGGAACATTGGAGGCTATCTTGCTTGATACTTTTTTCTTTTTCTTTCTTTTCTTTTTTCTTTTCACTATCTGAAGGTCTTTGAGACTGTAGTTTACCATCATTCCATCAGTGTTTCTTTGAGGTAACTGCATCAGCCATTGACTGGGAATATAAGGGAAGCTGGCCCTGGGGTTGCAAGATGAAAGGTGGAACATATTTTTCTTAAAACATGAAAGGTTTCAGAAAATACATTAGGTCACGTGGTTAGGGAAAACAAACTAGAAAAAGCTGTGAACTTGATTTTGTGGATTAAACAAAGCCAGGTGATTAAAATGTGATTTATTTATAAAGTCTGCTTATGTGTATTTTTATGATTTTGTTGGTTTTTTTTGGGGGGGGGTGGGGAAGCCTTCCTTTATTGGATTAGGCGTAAACAGCAAATAATCTAAGAGTTTGTCCAACTCACTCTTTTAGAATCCACCATTTAAATGTATAATATCAAGTCATGTTTTCAAGATCTCAGCTATCTGGGGGTATTGGCCCCTTCTAGGGGAGATGTGAGATTAAAGTGTCCAGCGGTACCTACTAAAGGCCCATTTTAAGAAGAGTGATCATGAGCTAATAGTGTAATAAAAATTGCATTCTATCTAAAGTGACCTATGTACATGCCACCATAAGTTATTATGGACTGTCCATCTGGGATTTAAAACAAGAACCTCGGCTTTTTTTTTTCCTTAAACATTTTTCTATTTGTGTAGCATGGTGTCTGGCACATAGTGGGCACTTAAAGCTGGTTTGGACTTGCATTCAATAGTTTTGATGAACATGATCCTAAAGTTTTAAGGTCCATGAGTGTTGGGAGGTAGGGAGAGACAAGAATAAACTTTTTATTTCCCTGAGAAAATCATATGTAATAATTTTAGAGTGATGAAGACATAGATATTTTTATAATTTTAAGATATGTTATCCTGCCAGAATATGAGAAGATTGACAGAACCAGTTTGCTTGCTCTCTTTTTATAGAACTTGGCCACATCTAATTCAGAGAAGCTGGAGATTCAGGGATGCTAGACTTAGATGGCTGAGTAATATGGGATGTGGTTCAAGGCCCATAGAGCGTGTCAAGCCATTACTGCAAACTACTTATAACAAAGGAAATGTGATCTGTTGCTAACTTCGTGTTCCCACCATGGAGAGGTGAGGATAAACATTTTTGCCGTGGCCTGTCAGATTCCCTTAACCTTGGGTCAGTCTCTTGACAGTGGCCATCGAGAGAGCACGTGGAGTGCCCCTTGCCCTGCCTTGGCCTGCCGTGGAAAAACAGTCTTTGAAGAATCACTGTCTAAGGGTAAGATGAGAGCTCCCTGAACTATTCTGAGCTGGAGTGTTTGCTGATACAAAGCTAAATTTAGCCAACATGTGTCCAGTGTGGTCAGCGGTTTGATTCATTGAACGTTCTGACTGATGGAGACCGAGAATGCTGGATGAGTTAAGAGCTGTCTTTCACCCCCGACCCAAAAAACTTTAAAATAGGCAAGACAGTTTAGCTACAGCATTCTATCATTAAATACCCATCTCATAGAGGACTGTAGGAGGAGAAAGTGTGAAAAATCAGGTCAAGTGTACCCCCTTAGTACAAGATTTAAAAACAACACTGTAACAATTCACTTGCCCATAATTTGTATGTTCCTGAAAGCATCATGCTCACAGTGCAGGGCAAAGTTCTAGTTTTGACTTAGATTCCACTTGGGGTTTAGTTTAGTGATCCATCCTTGCCCCTTTGGCATGTAAGCTCTTGCAGAAAGGGTCTTAGACGTTTTCTAAGTTTTATATTTTGGGCATTACCTGTGCCTGTTATTAACATCACCAGCCTTGCTCGTAATGTAGGTGTCTTTATTCAGAGTTAAGTGTGTGTTACAGTTCCTCTAGTATAGGAAGTATCTTTCTCGATTCTGAGGTGTTTCTTTGATTTGCAGAATGAAGAATTGAAAAGAGGTAATAGCAACAGCGTGATCTTTTGTTGAACACTACTGAGCCCTGGCCCAGCTCTAAATGATGTGCTGTTTTACTTTGTTTCCTGTTGGAAAAGCATTGATTCAAAACCTGGACCTAATGGTTATAACTAACTGCATCTTTAGAACACAGGTTTGGGAAGAAAACTTTTTTTTTCCTCTAAAATCCTTTTTTATCTGTGTATATGTTGATAGGCTCAAATACTTGATCCTCACAGCTATAAATCTGCGAGGCATAAATGGGTCACAGAAAGCCTCCCGGGTTCTCTCCTGTGAAGCATGTGACCAACCACTGCCTCTCCCTTTTCTCTTATCGACCAGGTGGCTTTAATGCTACAAAATGTAGGCTGAGTGAGGCCTGGGGTAGGAACTTTATGGAAACAGCAGCATAATTTAGGAGAGAAGAGTCTGTTCCTTTGAAGCCCAAGGACATGGTCTGCATCAATCCTGTTGTTCCAGGAAATCTCAGGAATTCATCAATGGTGTTAGAAGGCCTCAAACTGGAAGTTAAGGACGAGCAACTGCAACCTGTTCCTTGATCCTGATGAGAGCTGAAACAAGGACTCAGTGCAGCCAGCACTGGCTGGGACCCTCCTTGGTGACAGACTGTGCTGGCCGTGGCCGAACCTGCAGACTTGGGTAAGGACGTGGGTTCTCTTCCCTAGCAGCTCATTGTCTAACTCAGGTGGGAGAAGGGGGCAAGCAAAGTGAGGCTACAAAAGGTCGGATGCTGGGCAGGATGTGAAGAGCGCTGTGTCCAGCCTTAATTGCTGTGGAAGGAGAGCGCCGAGTGGGTTGGGAAGAACGTGATGTGCATCTTGGAGCAGTGGTTCTCCATCATGAGCCCATGTCGGAATCACGTGGAGGGCCCCACCCCAGGATTCCTGATTCAGGAGGTCTGGGGGAATGTGGGTTTCTAACTTCCCAGGTGATACTGATGTTGCTGACCAGAGACCACACTTTGAGACCCATTGACTTTGAGGAAGGGATGCTTGACTTGAGCGTTTGGGGATAAGAATTTGGGCAGATACGTGGGTGAAGGCTGCAAAATTCTTAGTGGAAGCTATGGCATGAACAAAGGTATGGAGATAAGAAAGCAAGGGGTTATGTTGGGGAAACCCCAGTAGTCCAGCTAGAGAAATGGTGGTAGATAAGGATGGAGTGATGCTGAGAACCTTGGAATTCCGCTTTGTGCCTACTCGGGAGGTAATCAAGGAACCAGCGGGTTTCGAGTAGAAGACATGTAACTGTAATTAATTCCAGGAAAATCTGGCAGCAGGACTAGCCAACACCAATTGATTACCAGTCTGCCTGGAGAGCTGTGTTGAGAAGGATTCTGAAGCTGAGAATGGACCCAGCACTGTGATGAGTGGTTTTTGCATGGATAGAGAACTAGTGAAAGTTGGTAATTTTGCCCTGTACTTGCCATCCCTGGACTAGAGGGTGACAAATTAGGAGAATATTGGAATAGCTGTGATAAAAGGTAATCAGGAACTTTATTTTGGTGGTATTCCTTCAACCATACATAAGGACTTGTATAGGACAGCACAGTGAAAATGGATGGAAAAGACATTGCTAAGGTAAAATCTACTAGATACAGGCACCAATTCAGTGAATTCAGCAAAAATATGTGGTGGCCAAAAGAAGCTGAGGATACAAGAATAAGATATAGACCCTGCTCTCAAGGAAGATTCACACAAGGCTTCCTTTGTGAAGTGAGTCTCAGAGCATTAGGGAAGGTTAGCCCGGCGAATTGGTGGTGTCAGGCAGGGCGGGAGAAGCAGGGTGTAGACTGGTGTGATACATGAGGAACTGCGCTTAACACGACACTGGGTTGCAGGGGCGAGGCAGCAAGCTGTGAGAGCTGGACAGGGGCCAGGTGGTAAGGGTCACGTGGCCCATGTTAAAGGCCTTAGAATTTGTGCTGTGGACTCTGGCGCCGTCTAAGGTCAGGGAGGGCAGTGTGGATGGTACATTTATGGGAAAGCAGGCTGGAGGCTCAAAGAGTGGTTAGGAAGCCATGCAGTTGTCCAGGTGACAGAGGGCCTGGAGTACAGGGCCGAGAGCACAGAGGGACAGGGCTGGTTGGATGTGGGGCGTGAGGGAGTGGTGGATGACTGTGACTTCGTGGCCATGGGCTGAGTAAAGGATTTTGATAAAGCGGGACTGAAGGCCAGGAGAGGGCGATGGTTCAGTAAGGGCAAGGATGACTTCCGGTTTTTAAACTGAGTTTTGAGGCACTTGTGGCACCTCCACTTACCAGTAGCCAGCAGGCTGTTGGATATGAGTCTGAAGCTGGGGATCGATATTTGGGCTAGAAATACTGATTTGGGAGTCCTTAGCATTTACGTGGCTTGAAATCACACAGGTTAGATGAGCTCTCTCAGGGAGGAATGTCAAGAGTACATACACTGGTCTGGGGATACCCCCATGGACGGGGGAGGTGCAGGCCTGAGAAAAAGAGGAGAGCGGACATTCAGGGCCTTTCCAAAAGGGAGGCTGGATCACCAGGGGCAGCTGCAGAGGTGGGAGGTGGCGGGGAGCAAGGAAAAGAAAAGCATCAAGCTGCCCAGGACTTGGAGAAGGTGGGGCGGCTCCCGATAAACACAGAGAGTCAGGAAAGGGAGCTTGCTTGGACAAGACGGGAGATGATTCAGTTTGGGGGAGTTGTTTTGGATCGCGTTTCACAGGCAGCTGGAATTTAAAGTTGTGGCGCTCAAGGAACAGGTTGGTTTAGAGGTAGGGACGTGCGAGTCATTTTGCCGAAAGACTGACTAGATAAAACCTTGGGGAAAGTCATTTAGGGGCGGGAGGCTAGAACTGGCCAAATAACAATGAAGGTAGGGATTTGATGTAGTTCATGGAGGCCAAACCTATAGGCACGTGGGTGCCATTCCTGGGAAATCTGCCTCCCTCCTGGTACAGCATGTGTGGACTCCGGTGAGGTCCTGGGAGGAAAGGCTGCTGTAGAAGTGGCCCAGCTAGAGAATTACGCCAGCTCCCTTCCGCCTCCCCGAAATTGTTTATTCATTTTCATCATCCTGTTTCTTAATCCACATCAGCTGGGGTCAGTGTAAGATTGCGCCATGGAAAACAATTTTGAAGTCTCTTTCTCCTTGGGCGTTTGGAATTTAAAATGGATTTTCACAGGAGCTAAGTCATGTGAGCTGGAGAGTGTGGAAACCTGCTTCTTTCGGAACCTGAAACCTACCTCCATTGCCTGTGGCAAGATTAATCCGGTGGCGTCCACTCACTTGCCAAAGGCTCTCAAATACAAAGGGAATGAACGCGAAGTAACAACGTGGAGACAGCGTCGCTGGGACTTGTGCAGCGCTGGGAGACGCGCCAACTGGGAGACTGGACACCTTCACGTGCCTGACCCGGAGGCTCCTGCTATCCCTGCAGGACTGGCTGGCACTGCGTGTTGCCCTCGGTGAGTGAATGAGGGCAGCGGGGCTGTGGCAGAATGGGACCTGGCACATCCTTGGTCAAAGTGCACTTGGCCTTGGAGACACGTTTCTCTGAAGCCCCTGGGGCCCTTTAACCTCTTCTCTCCACTCAGACATGGCAGCGAGAATGAGAGCGAGCTTCTGGCCCAGCAGCTTTTCAATGAAAAGTTTATTAGAAGGGCACTTACAGGGGAGAGAGGAGAGAGAGGACACAGTTCTTTAACAATAGGGGGTACAATGCTTAAACAGGTGCTCTGCTCTTAAGATAAAAGTTAGAAAAATCTAAAACACTATAAATACATACATGCTTTTTACAAAGGTATTAAAAGGTCAGGCTGGCTGAGAAGGGAAGGTAATCAACATCCTCCGCGTTCTTTTTCCCCACCCAAACGCACACCCCAACAGGAGTCCTGCCCAGAACAGCCTAGTTGCAACAGCAGCACTGAGGGTGAATGAAGGCTTCCTGGAGGAAGATGGCTTCATCCCTCTGGACAGTTCTCACCCCTAGGAAGGGAGAGGGGCTTGGTTCAGAGGTCCCCACGTAAGGGCCTGTATTCGACTCTGAGCTGCCTGTGTCACATGCTGCCACGTGGGGAGCCAGCCTGGGTCAGTCGTCCCAGGTGCTGAGCCCAAAAGCCACTGCACCCTCTACCAGCGTTTGGAACTGGCTGTGCCCCGTCTCTTCCCAGCCACTGTCCTTGGGAGGAGAGCCTTTTCCAACTTTCTTCAAAAAATTAAATAGTTATCTGTCTTGAATGGTTTTAAGAAATTATTACATAAATATAAAAACACCAGAATGCTCGAGTGTACATTACTTTAGCATAAAAGAAAAAAATTACAGGATCACTTGAGAGAATTTCTCAATCCAGTTTACACAATATGCGAGTTTTTGCATGTGGTAGCTGTGTTTCTGAAAGGTTGCCTGTAGCGCAAGTCATTTCCCAGCTCTTCCATCAGAGGTGCCTCATTTTTGATCCATACGTTTTTCTGCTTTCCCACCCACTTGCGGAGTGGCTGATACTCCTGAAAGACTGTCACTTGAAGGGGTTCGAGAAGGGAGCATCTATGCCACACCAAGAAAAATGGTACAACTTAGCCGTGTTGAGGTTTTCTTCTAGCAAAGATGTAGATTTGGGAAAAACTCCCAACTGTGCCACTTAGTCACACAGTAAGACACAGGGCCCGGAACCAAACTCATGCCCTCTCTTGCTACTTGGTAACCCCCGCCCCCCTTGGTAAACAGTCCCCTGAGCAGTCTGCAGATTCCTGTCCCTCCCTTCTCCTTTTAAGGACTACAGAGAGTGGCCTAATGAGAGCTCTAATGTGAGCTCTCACCCCAGAGACCCTCACGGAGCCTCAGAAATGGCAGCTTGGGGCTGAGAATGAAATCAGATATCTGCCGTCTCCCCAAGCTACTCACATACATGCATGACATGCACGCGTTACTTAAAGAAAACCTTTTTCTGCGGTGTGAGTAAAAGCATTTAGCCCTGGAATACGTCCAAACTCTAGGAAGCCAGAGGGAGATGGAGAAAAACAAACTAAGCACAAGATACGTGCTACAGCTCATTCCAATACATTAACAATGATTTAAAAAAATAATCACCATGGTAAATAAAAAAATACAGCACAGACAACATAAGGACAATGGAAAAGTCTGCCAGCAGCCTTGCCCTCATGTCTGTTCTTCCTAAGAGTCCAAGTCCCCGCTCCTGACTCTGGGCTTGTCTCAGAATGTCAGATCTGCAGCCTGCCAGGAAGGTGGCCAGCAGAGAAGACTGGCCAGCACAGGCCTGTAACCCGAACCGCTGGGGCGGCTACCTACTTGCACTGGAAGGCTCCAAGTACTAAATAAAGTTAGGAGGGGGGAGGGAGTGGGCGGAGAGGAAAGGGAATACAAGCTGGCTCCTGAGGGAGGCGCTGAGGCCAGGATCCAGGGCCCCCGCGCTCTAGCTGCTCTCAGGTCAGCGTCAGCACAAGCCGCAAGGTGAAGGTGGCCTGGCGGGGAGCCCGGGGCAGGGAAGCGAGGCGCGTTGTGCAGCCTGGACAACGGCACTGAAAAGGGTCTCCAACAGCCACCGTCACCCCCCAGAACTGCCCCGATTTCCTCCTGCCCCTTTCAGCTGTCCTTTAAGTTTTTCAATGTATAAATGCCTTCAGGCAATAGGATTTTTAAACTATTTTTATGACTTGAAGGACACTAATATTACATGTGCCTCAAAGCCACCTACGCAGCCTCTGGGGTGGGAATGAAACCAGATCCTAACCTCTGGGTACAACCAAATTTCTTTTCAATGGTGCTGAAGGTGGGCTTTCCCACTTTTTCCTCTCGTCCTCCTCCTCCAGCAGTCTAGTCTATAAAGAAAAAGGGCCAAGCAAGTAGCTCTCGGAAAAACACAAAATTAAAACTTCATGCCTCCTAGAAGTAGCCTTTAGCTTTGAGCACTGAGGGTTCTGAGACACCATCCAAATGCAGCCAGATGTGACCAACAAGATCACCCAAATTGGGCTGTACCTGAAGCCGGTTCCCAAGTACCTGGGGGACAGCTGTGCGCCGTAGGAAGCCCTCACAGGAGATCACGTTAGCAGGTGGAGAACGCGGGCCCTCAGAGACTGCTCCCCATGGCTTCTAGAGGGGGCACCACGATGGCTTCAGCCGAGGCCAAAATGGAATAAGAAGTCATACCATGAGTCTCAGACCTGACTGGGAGCAGGAACACACATCCAGGAGGTTCAGATGATTTCCTGTATCTAAAAGAAGCAGTCCACCATCATTTCATACCAGGCACGAACTTCAGACTTGCAGTATCTGGCCCCCTCAGGTGGAGTGAGGGACTACACACCGTCTCCGGCTCCGTGTCGACAGTCCTGCGCAAAGACCAGTCCAGGTCTGGCCAGGTACTCTCGTCTCTTCCTGTGTCCTCTGGAGGCTTGGCAAGCAGCTCTCCTACCTGGAAACTTCAGGGCTGGAGCTTCAGAGGCCTAGGATCCTGTAAGTGAGGCACCCAGGAAGCCCCCAACATCTCCACATAGCATCAGAAATGTCATCACATTTGAGGTTTATACCTGCCAAAAGTGTACACTTTCTTCCCTTCACCTGCAATTAAGACAGGACTTCCATAGGAAATCCCTTTATTTTTCCTGGTAGAAATCCATGCAAAAATATGGGATAAGTCATTTCATACAAAAACAGCAGCAAAGTATAAAGTACCAATTGCAAGTGGCAATTCCATCTGCTGTATTCTGCAAAAGGCCAGTAGAAGAGGGCTCTTTTTTTTTTTTTTTCCAGTTGAAATAACTTATAGTAGTTTCCTCACTAATTGCCACTGGGAGCAGTACTTATTACACATTGTAACTGCTAGAGTTGTCACTGATGATCCTCTACTGTGAGCTAGATAATCTCATATCCCAGGGGAAAGATGACAGACCTCTTTGCACCAAACCTGCAATTTTCAAAGGTGTAAAAAAAATTTTTAATAGCCCTTTCATTTGCTTTTGTGTTGGCCTGAGATCTTTCCCTCCTGGTGAATTTGCTTCTGTTAATTTCAGCTTCCAAAAGTGCTGGCAGGTGTCTTCTCAACAAAACCTGGAAAAGCTTCACTTTGGGGGAGAAGTTGCTGGGTCCCCCTCTGGTTTCCCAGTCAACGTGCCAACCCAGGGTTTGTTTTTTTTTTTTTAAATATAAAACAAAGGTTTAAAAGAGCATACGATAAAGTTCATTTAATTAACGCAACTGACTACATCAGCCAATGTAGCCGAATGCATGAGAAAGCGGAGCGAGCTCTTACAGGTGACCGGAGACCCGTGCACCGTGGTGGTGCTGCCTCAGCCTGAACACCATCACGGACAACTGCCTCCTGCTTCCCGGGAACACTTCACATAATTCAAATCTCTTTGAGATTACCGTGATGCTGCAAACTATACATTTCCTACGTGCTTGAGCCTCGACAGATCCTTCCAACTGCTGAAAATGCAGACAACTTTAAGAGTGTTTTTAAAGAAGAGGTGTCACCACCTCTTCCCACCGGTCCCTGTGTGCCCGGTTCTGGACACACTCGCTCACACCAATCAGTATGCTCCCCGAAGGGTGGAGACAGACAAGACCCCTCCCCACCCCAAGTCAATTCAGCCCCCAGAGTGCAAGGTCTGCCGCTGCTGGGGTTCAGGAATGCTCACTGGAAGAGGAGGGCTGGGCCCGAGGTGCGCTTATACCCCTGCCTGCCGGCTTCTCCCTGCCTCTAGAGTGCCCAAGGCGAATTCCGCACTCGGTCCTGACCACAGGGCCGTTTCCTGTTGGGCAGTGACATCTCAGTTTGCTGTCATTAAAAGAAAAGGGGGCTGGGGGAGGGGGCAGGTGGTAAAATACTACCTGTTTGCTCAAGCCACCAGAGCAGAAGCCATTTCTTGCCCTTCACAGCAGGGCCAAAGGGCAGATGTGTTCAGCAGACACAGCTGTTCATAAAAATCCATCTCTGGGTTTGCTTTCATGTTCTGTAAAACAGGCTCGTGCCACTTTGGTTGAGGGAGAAAAATTTCTTCTTCTTTGACAACCGTGATTTGAGTTCTGATTTCTCCACCTCCTACATGGCCATTTTCCCCAAGCCCACCCTCCCCGCCCTCCCCCTTCACACCCAATGTCTCTAAGACACACTGGAGCAGCGGATGCTTGGGGAGCCCATCTGGGTGAGGACCTTGTCAAGCCACTGCAAAGGCCCATTCAGGTGCAGCTCGATCCAGCAGGGGGTGCTGGTCACGGTCTGTCTCCTGCAAGACATTGGGAAAGGGGTGGGTTGGGGGATGTTAAGAATGTCCAGAAGCACACACACACATGTCAGAATGCCTTTTCCCGCTTTGGTGACAGGCTTCTTCCCAGAGCCAGAGATACGGACTGCCTTGCTAGACCCCGTCCTGGAGGAGGTGCCACTAACTTGCTGAAACTGCCGGGCCAAACTCCAAGCAGGAAGGGCTTTGAGTAAATCAGGTTCTCCTGCACCAGGGAAGGACGTGGCCCCCTTAAAGAGAAACATGTAAGGCAAATTCCAGGGTACCCCAGAGGCCCCCCGGTTGCCTTGATGGGCTCCTGATGGAGAACCTCAGCCAGAGCAAAGGTCTCTCTGGTCCCCCTGTCCTGAGAGGGCACCTACAGCTCCCCTGCCTTCAGCCCCGACCTACCCCCCAGCAGGCCGCGATGACGTGCGTCTGCCTGATTGAGGGGTGTTTCTTACAGGGCGCCGACAGAGTCCACATGCTGTCGGTCCCCAACGTGCTGATACAATTCCCATCTATGGCCTTATTTTGGAAAATCTTACGAGCAGAGTGAGCCGTGGAACAATTACTGGAAAAAACCAAGGCACACCACACGTTTCTTTTCCCCAAAGCACTTTGTCTAAATTCGGGCTGGTTGATGACGCAGCTTGCAGGCAGGCTCCCAAAGGCCTCCACCGAGCAAAGGCTATCTGCTGAGGCCGGAGGCGCTGGTGCCAGCTGGAGGTGAGAGGCCTGGGCTCTGCTTTCAGCCACCTCACAGGAAGGGGTGAAACCTTACTCTCCTTGGCCCCGGAGGCAGGAGGAGGGCGAGGCTGTTCTGGGAAGGGGCCGCACCACCAGTTACGTTGCTCTGCGGCGCTGCCAGGTGGCAGTGACGTGGTGGGCTGCACAGGACTGGGTGTGCTGGCAGTATGTCCTGCACGGTGACACAGTGCCCCCAGGGAAAGGCTTCTGCCAGCCGGGGCCTCTTCCCAAGCACTTGAACCTGGAGGACTGCAGTGCCGCGCCAGGTCAAGAGCTGCTGGCCCGAGGTCACCACCCTGCTTGCTTGGCCTGCGCTTCTCCCGAGTGGAGGATTAGAAACGGGCTTGCAGACTCGGCCCTGGCATGTCTGCCTGACCTGGGTGCCTGAGTGTGGCCCTCCAGACTGCAGTCTGAGTGCTAACAGGGATAAATGGACCTCCCTCTGGCTCTTTTCCACCGGGTCCATCTTTAAATATTTCCCTTCCCCAACTAAAAAGAAGATTAATTTTCTAACCTTTCAACTCTTGCTCCCTAAATGATTCAGCCAAGGCCAAAAGGTGAGCTAAAACGTCCCTCGGGCTGGGCCTTTGGGCCTGGGCTAATCTCAGGCCATTATAACTGGGTTGTAAGTTCTCCGACGGCTGACCACTCGGATAGCTCAACGGGTCATTCATCCCGGATTTGAGAGAGACCCCAGAGACCAAGGTGCTGTGTTCCCTGGCACTGTGGGGCAGACACGGAGAACAGCAGCTAAAGTACGGTAAATGAAAGAGGAGGATTTTATGGACCGAAATCCTCTAATGACAATCTGACTTTCCATAAGTCATGCTCATCTGGATTTCATTATAAATGGTGGCCCAGAGCCAATACTGAAATGGGTTTGGCCTGGGTGCAGAATGACTGCAAAACAAAATGGATTCCAAACATCTGGAAAAATGAAGAGAAGGGGAGAGTAACTTGCAAGGCACTGGCTCCAGCTGACGTGCGGGCACCTCTGTGTCTGCCACGGAGTCGGGGCTGGGCACACAGACCTGCCTCTAGGGGAAACTCCTGTCCAGGTGTGGAAGGAAAAGGAACGGGCTTCTCTAAGCCCACGCCAGAGTGGCCTGAGAGATTCGACAGAGCAAACCAGGGACACCCCTGACCAGTGCCATGTTAAACCCAGTATCTCAGAAATTCTGAAAAAATCATTTCTGAGCAAGTAAACTTTGTTCCTTTGACCACCCAAATCTCCTCCTCCCTTCCCTGCTTCTCAGTTTTAATATCCTAGATCCTCAGGGTCACCGGGTCAGAGATGGAGCCACAGAGGAGAGAAGGAACAGTGAGATGAAGACTTAACTCCCCGGAGAGGGTCTTCCTAAAACCATCTGCCCAAAACGAACAAGGAGGAAGACGCCAAGAGGACACAGTTCTAGGCTCAGCTTTTCCACAAATGATGCAACTTCAGGCTAGTCGCTTTCCCTCCCTGGGCCTTTGTTCCCTCATCCGTACAACGGGGACAATGCCAGCGTCCCCACCCAGGGTTGTGGTGAGGATGGAACGCTCCCAGCTCCTGAGAAACTGGGCGAGCACTGCTCAGCTCTTCCCTGTCTAGTGGGACTTGGCCCCGCTCGGATCCCTGGTCCCTCTGCTCTTCGGGGCAAGGGCCAGCCTAGCTCATCTCTGGGGAGCCCTTGCTCTGCGTTCTGAGCCACCTGCAGTCCCCGCATCCCAGGGACAAGCGCCCCAGCCCCGACCTGTACTCGGCTCCCCAGCCCTTGACGAAGCTCATGCGGATGGTGCACATCCGGGTCAGCTGGTACACGGCCTCGAAGCCCTGGTTGACAGACTGAGCCAGGAGGGCGGCAAACTCCTGGTTGTTGAAGATCTTCAGGTTGCATCCTGCCAACAGAACAAAAACAGTGCTCGTGGGGACGAAGAGTGCACTTGTCCGGAGCTCCTCTCCTGGCTAAAGCCCCCCACCCCACCCCCAGGGTCACCCGGACCAGTGTTCCCACATTAGCCACAGATTCCACACTCAGCACCACACTGGGGGCGAGCCCACGTGGTCCCTGCCCGTGAAGCCATCACCGCCTCGATGGGGAGATGCAGCTGACACAGGTGAGGGGGGAGAGTTAAACAGTGGCCCATAGCTCCAGTTCCCAGAGCTGTGGGAAGGCTGAGGAAGCCAGTAAAGTGAGCCCAGGAACAAGGGAAACAGTTGGGAGAGGTGGGCCCTGCCTTGGGCGAAGGGGCCAAGGCAAGACTCCAGGGAACAGAGGCAGCAGGGTCACAAGCCTGAAGGCCCACGTAGTGTACAGGTATGGCCGACCTCCTGGGGAGCAGGAGTCCTTGCCCTTTGATGGAGGGAGCACCAGAGAAACAGGCCAGCTGAGAGGCTACCCGGCCTGCCGTGCCAACAGGAGTTCGGCAGAGGGTCCTGGGCACCTTCCACCTGGGCTCCTCCAACAAATCCACCTCTGCCCGGGCCAGGAGGCAGCGAGAGATCTGGGCCACATCTCGGCCTCTGGGCACGAGGCTGGGGTGGGGTGACGTTCTCGGCAAAGTGAAGGTGTGTACCTAACTCCAGGCATAAAACCAGAGACAGGCACACATAAAGTTTACCGTAAATCTCTTGTTCGAAGTCCTACCGCCTGAGTGCCAGGAATGTGTCAATCAGAGAAATAAAAGACAAAAAAGAGCACATGCCAAAAATGCCCGAAAAGGTGAGCTGAGGTGACACTAACGGGCCAGCACTGGGCCCCTTGGCTTGCTGCGTGACTCTGGGCTGGTCACTTTCTCTTCTAAGCCCGTGTCTCCCTTGTGAAAGGAGAGGCTGGCCTCAGAGGCCCCCCAGCTCTGACATCCCATGAGATAACATCCAGCACCACAGCCAGCTCTGCCGGAACCAGAGAGAGGGAGAGGGCGGGGCCGGGGGATGGGCACAAAGCCAAGTGCGCATCTGGACTTCCTCTTCTCATTTTCTCTGAGGGGAAGAGGGGTGAAGCAGAGCCCAAGGTGAGTTCCGGTCCCCCGCCCAGCAAGCAGCAAAGAAGCACACAGCCCTAGGCTCATCCTGGCTCAGCCACTTACTAGCTGTGTGTCCTTTGCAGGTAGCTTAACCTCTCTGAACTTGTCTCCTCAGCATGCCTCCTCGCCTGAAGAGCTAGAATAACTGGTGAGGACTACGTGAGCCCCAAGGTAGCCGTGTGCTCTGTAAACGCAACCACACGACGTTCCAGAAATGGAGAGCACCACGAGCATCTCAAACTCTTTGCATTCTTAAGTTGATCCAGCCCATGACCCACCGCTCCACCACCACCTGCTACTTAGTGAGCAGGAAGACATGCCACACACACGCCGCAGGCAATGGACTGAGCCACACACTCTACCCAGTGGGCACAGTCCACGCTCTGCGGCTGCGCGCCCTGGGAGAAGGGGGCTGCGGCAGGGGCTTTCTGCCTCAGCTTTCTAAGTAAAGAGGCCTTGGATGAGATCAGCCACCTGCCTGGTCATCCACCCAGGCCTGGTCCTGTCCAAGCCACCCTCTGGGGTGAGCCTGCCACCCCTTGGAGTACAGGTGGGATTCGTAGCCCTACTCAGAAAACCCTCAACAGTCCCCCTGAATAAAAGCAAAACTTTCTCATGTTCTTCCGTGGCCTGGTCCCATCATGTTTTCTAAACGTGTCGTTTAAATGGCCTCCACTGCAGGCAGAGTGCAGCCCACGTGTGCCCTGCCCTCCATCACCTCTGGGCCTTCGCCCATATCGTTCCCTCTGCCTGGGATGCCCTCACGGTCCTCGCCCCACCATCACCCTATGCCTAATGCTTACCTACTGCTCCAAGCCCAAATGCCTTCTCCTCCATGAAGCCTTTCCTGATCCATCCTAACAGTTAAATGTGTTTCTCCCCTTGGATCCAAGAGCACGTTACCTGTGCTGCTTGCACGGTGCGTAGCACCCTCCCTCGTATTAAACACATTTGTGTCTTTGCCTTGCACACTCAGCTGATGGGTAAGGTCTGTGGGGAAAGCAGAAGGACTTTCTGCACCCCTCCATCCCCCTACAGCATCTGGCATGGCTTTAGGAAGGAAGGGAGGGAGGGAGAAAAGGAAGAAAGCAGGCATACTATCTTAGCATCTATGCACACAGGCAATAAACAGGTACCCAGAGATCAAAGGCAGATGTGTCAGATGCTGCGTCTGCTCCCCGAAGGTTCGGGGAGGTCACAATAAGACAGCAAGGCAGAAAACCCAAGGGAAGCATCTCCAGATTGTCAGTGCGAACACCCATGAGGAGAAAAGGGAAGAGAGGAGAAACCTTTTTAGCATCCCAGGCATGTGCCGCAGAGGAGAGGACCTCAGGGAAAGGGTGGGTATGTCGGTGGTGGTACCTGGTGGGATCTTGCAGACGGTGGCTGGGTGCCAGCCGTAGCGCTGGTTACAGTTGGGAGACTGGACAAAGATGGCACTGTCGCTGAGGCACTCCGCGAAGACCTCGCCTCCGATGTAGTACAGCCGCACGCCTCGCCCTAGAGAGATTCGGGTCAGAGTGGTCCTGGCACCAGCTGAGGCTACCAGAGGAGGCAGAACTGCAGCCGATGCTCCAAGTGACTGGTTCTCTGCCAGGGTCACCAGGCAAACGGGGCCCAGAGCCCAAGCCTAAACACACGGGGAAGTGATGGGTGACGCTAGGCTGCCAAAGCTGGGGAGGCAGACGACGAGAGGAAAGAGCATGGGTAAGTCTTAACAGCAGCCTCTGCCGATGACCTGCCATGGGCCTCGGCCAAGTTACTCAGCCGCTGAGCCTCAGTTTCTTCATCTGTAAGATGGGGGTAACAAGCATACCTACCTCATGGGGCTGCTGTAAGACACACAGCAAGTGCCTGGTGAGCAGTAGTTGCTGCTGCTGCTACTACTACTAGGTCCCTTCCCCCTCCAAGATTCAGAAACTCATTTAGTCAGCCTGCAGATCTCCTCCTGAGGCAGCAGATACCCCAGGAGCCCTTCACTGCAAGGGATGGCTTAATTAGTGCCACTCCCTGTAACCTTTCTCCCCTCGATGCATTTTTCTAAAACATTCCATAGCTTTATATCATTTACTTTCCCTTCATCTCTTAAATCCACTCCAGATGGACAGAAATTATTTTTAAATTGGCTCTGCAATTCAAGCAAGTTATATAAACCCTCTGACAACGAGTCTCCGCTCAGCCAGGGGATGTTCTCTTCTCCTGCCTGGAAGGTCTTTGTTCCCACTCCTGGGGGCAGAGGCCCAGAGGGCCGGGGAATGGAGCCAGCTTTCACAGGCGCAACGTGGAGTGGGATGGAAACCAGACGACCGGCTGCAGGCCTGCCTCCTCGTCCCACCACTGTCCTCGTCCCACCACTGTCCCCGGCCCCGCCGCTCCCCAGTTCTTCCTGGCTCAGTGCTACAGGACTTGGCGGCTCACAGACACCAGGGTGCTGACAGACTCGGGGGCCACTAGGAGGCGCCCTGGAGTTATGTCGGTCAAGAGCGGGAGGCGGAGGTGGGAAGACCCAGACCCAAAGAACAAAAATGTTTGGGTAATTTTTGAAATGTTATACTTAAATATAGAAAAGTATAAAGTGGGTAAGTAAACACCTGTGTATACCACCAAGGATCTTTTTAAAAGAAAACAAGTAGGAAGCTGTCTGGGAAGGATGCAGGCTCAGGGGCAGGAGGGGGCTCTTTGTCACCGACTGTGTTACACACTTGCTGAGTGGCCTCTGCAGGGCTCTGCCCCTCCCTGGGCATCAGGTTATCATTCCCTGGAAAATAGGCGCACTGGCGCAGGCCCATGGCTTCCAAACTTTTCTTGACTGTAAAACCCTCTGTCCAAATGAAATCTTCTGTGAAGGCGCAAGATATAATACAAACGAGCAGAGGTGCTCTGGTTCACATGTGCCCAGACCCCTGCTGCCCTGCCCAGCTCCTGAGTTTACTCTGGAATCCCTTGGCCACCCTGCGTGCCCTCAACAATGTCTGAGAATACCCACCATCTCTACACCATCTCTGTGGCCCTTCTAGGACTCTGGATCGCAAGGCTGTGAACATCCCCAGCACGATAATTTTATGAGCAAACCAAGTGACACACAGCAAGGCTTCCTCCTCCCTAAACTAAGTGATCTTTCACCACGTGCTAGGTGTCGGGAGAGAGTGTTAGCAGCAGTGGTGTCCCGGAGGCGGGCAATACTGGTCTCTCCACCTCTTCTAAGTTCCTAGAACAATCATATATGAAGTGAACAAAGAGAATATCATTCCTCCAAGGTGGACTATATACTCGTCCACCTATCAGTACTTCAAGGGTATTTTTATTAAGAGAATTGCACGGTTGCCTTTCTCAAGAAAGTCAACTGTCCTCCTCTGTGGCTCTCAAATTTTCAGAAATGGTCTCTGAGTGGGAACGATCAAGCAACCGCAACTCTACCTGTCTGGCCCCTAAACAAGGCAATACGCAGCCTGGGGGACGGGCACGGGGGAGGCGCACAGTGGTGGCTGGTGGGTTCTGGCAGGGGCTGTGCTGGCTGGGGCGCGGGGTGGTGTCACAGGGGGGAGCGCGGCCGCCCCTTACCGATATGCCTCCGCGTCAGCTCCACGGCCGCGTTCCTGTTGACATTTGAGAGCAGCCCCAGGCAGAAGCGCTCTGAGTTGGAGGGATCGGTGAAGCCATCCACTGTCATGGACGGCTGTGAGGCGTGGAATGTCTCCCCGACACGCTGGTTGAGCTCGTAGTAGGAGATGGAACACCAGAAGGCCGGCTCGCAGTAGGTGACGGGCTGCAGGTCTGAGGAGACAGGCCGGGCCGCTGGGTCAGGGGGCCCCCCAGCCCCTGAGCTCCTGGATGGGGTCCCCTAGATGCTCCAGAAGCCTGTTTCCCCACCTCTCAGGGCATTAGAATCCCCCCACCCTCACCCTTTTACTGTGTAAAACTTGCAGGATCCAGTGGGACAAAATCCTCAGGTGTTGGGAGAAGCATTCCACTGGCCTTGGTACTTTTTATTTAGTTGAGCTCACAAAGGCCCTGCCCCGCCCGGCCTGGCCTTGGGTTGAAGTAGTCTTCAAGGAGGTGCTGGGTCAAACCCAAAAGGCCCTGAGACCAACAAGCACCTGGCTAAACGCACTGGACAGGCCAGGAGTGCCCACTGCGGTCTGGCCACACCATCTGCCTCTCTCCCAAGGTCCCCAGAGTAACCCATGCTGATCTCTGCCTCCCAGAAGGGCTTGCAGCTTCTGGCTCTGCCTGGTCGTGGGCTAACTCCTAGCCTGTCGGGCGGCAGCGTCCAAGCCTGTGAAATGACAAGGCTGGTGCGGCCCAGGGGGTCGCGTCTACAGCCACACAGGCACCGTCTACAGAGTGAACTGGGTCCCTGCCTCTTATTGCGGAAACTATCTTCCAAATGTATCCAGATGCCATCTGTCGGGGTGGCTAAGACACAAACTCACCTAAAAGCAGCTCTGAATTTATCCTAGTTGGCAGTCTGTGTCTCGGTCAAGGGCTCCTCAGAGCAAACTGCTGGTTCTCAGAAGAGGTGGGAACCCCTGAAACAGAGGTTTCCCCTCACGTGCCTCCACGTTACCTTTCCCGTGATTCCCTACGCCTCCTGTCACCTCCAGCTGTTCCAGGCTCCACACCTGCCCAGGTACCCCTGCCCTCCTCCTGCCCGTCTGTGTGTCATCTCCCACCTTAGGGTCCATCCTCTTGGCCCTGAGCCGGGCCCTCGTCCTTCCTCACTTGCAGCGGTGCCACGCCTCTGACAGGACTCCCCAGCACTCCAGCCAGCCCTTCCAGCTGCTCCTCTGCTCTGCACTGCTCCCCGGGCCACATCCTGCTCTCTGCCTACCATCTGCTGGCGAATCAGGGATTCTGCTGCTCTCATTCCTCCGCCTCAGACCTCCAGCCTGAGTCACTTGCTCTGGCTCTTACATAGACGTGGAGCCGCCTGGTCACTCAGGGCGTGACTTTGTGGGAGCCAGTGAGAGTGATGGGAAGGGCTCGCCGTGCCAAGTCTCAGCACTGGCCCGAGACCCCTGCTCACCGCCCGCCGGGCAACTTCCCGGAGCGAGAACCCACGAGAACCACTGCTCAGCTCACCAGACCTCTGAAAGTGCGTAAAGCCCAGGAGAGGCCCGGGTCCCCCTGCAGGGCAAAGTGGCCCTGATCTCCTTCTGGGGTCTACGCCCATGATCCCGTCTAAGGGTAAAGAGAAGGTCAGCACACACGGGAGGAGCTGCAGCCCGTGACATCCCTGCACTCAACACACCCAGGAAGAGTCAGCTAGAGGGTCAGGACACCTACATCAGGTTTCTCAACCTCGGCACTCCTGAGATTTGGGGCCAGATAATTCTCTGTGGGGAGAGGGTTCTGTGCACTCTAGGATGTGCACAGCATCCCTGGCCTCTACCCACCAGATGCCGGCGGCACACATCCATCTCACCGTCCCAGCGGTGACAGTAAGAAATGCCTCCAGACATTGCGAGAAGTCTTCCACGGGGCAAAACAGGCCCCAGTTGAAAACCACTGCCCTGGACGCTTGACCAGGTCATGGAGCACAAGCTTCAAGGCCAGATGGACCATCGTCCACCCTCTGCTCAGACACGGACCAGCTGTGTGCCGCTGAGCAAACCAGTTAAGCTCTGAGTTTCAGTGTCCACATCTCCCCCCGGGTCACCAGAGCGGAGAATCTCCTTTATCACCAGGCGCTGTTTGTGGATGGACTGAGATAATTCAAGGGGAGAGCGGGGCACACATCCAGCACTCAATAAATGGTGTTAACAGAAATTATAATAATTTTGGTTCTATGAACTTGCAGAGATCCTGTTCTTGTCCTGACCTCCATCCGAAGGGAGCGAAGTGTCCTTGCCCCTCCTTCCCTTGCCAGGGCCCACACTACTTAATGGTGAAAGTGGTGTGGTGGGGCAGGAGTGACCATGGCCCGCGGCCAGTGCCCCCGAGGCTGGGCTGAGCCACGCCAGCCACATCCGGCTCTGGCTTTGCTCGATGCTTGACATTCCAATGAGATAAGCTATATTCTAAACAATGTGGTCACTAAAATGTGAGCTATGTTGCTTTGGAAACCTTAAAAAAAAAAACAACCACCACCACCTAAGAAATCCAAGTGCACTCCGAGCCTTCAAAGTGGTCTGGCAACGTGTCAGGGCCAAGAGGTACTGGGGAATTCCCAGAGGCAAGCTCTGCTGACCCTGCTGTGCAACCTGAGGGACATGACGTCCCTCTCTGGCCTCAGTGGCCCAGTCTGAACAGTGACTGCAGTGTACTGGAAGCCACTGAAAGCAGACCATGTAGGTCACGGTGTTTCTGGCATGGGTCACCACGAAGAGGCAGCTATGGCTGATCTGGGCTGGCCTTGGCTTCTCTAGCCAAGTACAGAACAGAGCCGTCTTCATCTCCAAATTATAAAGCCTTTTCCAGCACCCCCTGGGCTTAGTCCAGGCAGAAGTGAGCGAGCTAGGCTCCCAGGAACACTGACTCAGCCCACCCATCAAAAGAAGAGAAGCCAGCAGGCCACCCATTGGGTAACGTGGGGCCAGAACCATATTCTGGGCACGTGTGGGCTGCAAGGTGTCTCGGAATCAGAGAGAGGCTTGGGGTCCTAGCCCAAGAGGCCCTCCCAAGCAGATCTGAGCCCTTATCTAAACATGCCTGCAACTCACAGACACTCACTGAACAGTGCTGTGGGAAACACAGGATGCAGGAGCCTGACACATAATTAAGAAGATGCTGGTTGGGGGAACAGAGCAGTCAGGCCAAGGCAAAGTCTGCAGGCTGCCATTTCAGAGAGTGCTGTTTGGACGAGCCGACCTACATTCAGAAGCAGCACCGCAGCCATGCACTTACTGTTGTCTGCAAACAACTGACAGTCACCTCACTCCCTCCCATCATCCCTCGGTGCTTCCTCAAGGCATTTCTGTAAGAGGAGCTGCAGACCCAAGTATGATCACCACCTCTGGGTTATGCCTTATTTTAAACTTTATTTTAAACTTCACGTATGCCCTCATTTCTTTCCTACCAAAGGACTTATCCAGACCATGGTTCCGAACAAGACAAAGTCAGGACCCTGGAAAAGAGAAGACTATAAACAGGCTAACCATGAAGTTACAGCTCCTGAAAGAGCACTCCGCTTGGGTCTAAGCTTCCTAGCAGACAAGGCAAAAAGGGAGCATAATATGCTACATGGCTCTGGTTGGTGGACAGACAATTCTTACTAGTTCTGCAGGGGAAACAAAACTTGTCCTGGGCACTAAATCTTTTTTTTTTTTTTTTTTTGCGGTACGCGGGTCTCTCACTGTTGTGGCCTCTCCCGTTGCAGAGCACAGGCTCCGGACACGCAGGCTCAGCGGCCATGGCTCACGGGCCCAGCCGCTCCGCAGCATGTGGGATCTTCCCGGACCGGGGCACGAACCCGTGTCCCCTGCATCGGCAGGCGGACTCTCAACCACTGCGCCACCAGGGAAGCTGGGCACTAAATCTTAAATGACATCTTCAGGTGGCTACTCCTCCTCCATATCAATCAGTCCAGCCAGCCAACCTACCCTAGTTTCAAGAGTTTCCCAACAAACGCAGAAGCAATTTTATGTAAGGTTGCTTCTGAGAACCCTGAACATATGCCACTCACAGGCTCCTCTGGGAGGACAACTCTACAGGGCAAAGTGACCTGCCCCAGTGGAAAGTGGTTTCGCTTCTCTAGCCAAGGACTCAGCACACCTGGAGTGGCAGCTGATGGCGTGTGCCCAAGGCCTTCCCTTCAAACGCTTCTGCTCTCTGCCAGACTGCTGAGTCTGTGCCAATCTCTCTTCCTGCAGCAGAGGCGTTGCAGACGCAGGAGCCTCCCGCTGCAGCCGTGCTCGGCCCCCTGTCCCCACCGGTGCGGTGTCGGCCAGACCACTTGAGGAGCACGGGGCACTTAATTCTCGACTGGCCCCCTGCCAGCCTAACGCATTGGCTGGCTTCGGCTCTGAGCCCGATTCCAAGCTGGCACTGACTTTCTGTTTTGTTTAAGGAAAAGAAAACAGAATAAAACCCAGAAGGCAAAGGGATGCCTATTAAAAACATGTGCGAGAGATCCAAATCCGGTAAACGAAAGGGGCGGGGGGAGGTCGGAGCGGGGAAATTAACTTTCTACTATACATCGAAAGCAGGGACTGGGCGAGGGCCGGGAGCAGCGACGCTGTAAAGCTAAAGGTCAGAACACAAACGGCTGCCTTAGTCTGCGCCCTGCTCACCTGCGGAAGGCGGCTCTGCCTCAGGCCAGGAGGCTTCCACGCCCCAACCCCCACGTGCACTTCCCCTGCCCGGACTGCTCGTCCCCCTCGTCTGCCAGGATGCAACCTTCGAGGCCCAGCGCAGGTGGCTGTGAAAATATCCTCTACGCCTGTGCCTGAGCCACCTGTGTACCTGAGGGTTAGGTCCCTGCAGGCCCAGGCCAGCTGTGTCCCAGCAGCCGGGCACCAATGCCAACTTGTCTCACCAAGGATTAGGCAACAAACCCAGTTTTACACAGAAAAGACCCCACGCTCTTTCAACCTAGGACCAGTTTACTGAAACCAAGAACAGTGGAAAAGTCTAAGAGCTGGACGGACCCTCGGGAGCGTGACGGTCCAGCCGACAGCCGACGTCCTGCGGTGAAGATGCCTGCCTGTGGTGTCCCAAGCTTATGGAAGATTAAAGCCCAACGAGGCCTCAGAAAAGAACGTCTGCAGCCACCCAAGACACCTGGGATCGGGTAGGGCCTGTAACGTGGGCCCCTGCCCTCTCTCGGGGCCCAGGGGTCCTCCTGCTACTCTGCCACCAGGGCCCCCTTCTCCTGGCAGGAGAGGAAGTCAGCCTCAGCCCAAGGTCCTCGGGGAAACCATCACCTCCTTAAACTCCAGCTCAGCCGCTGCCCCAGGGCATTCCCTGGTACCTCGTTTCCCCCAGTCAGTCTCGGCCCCTCCCGAGATGTCTCACTTTAAAGCAGAGAACAACTTTACTCACCAGCAGGATCCAGCTCGTTATCTTTCTTCTCTCTCTCCGCCTCCCTCCTCCTTCCCCTCCATTTGCTCCAATCCTTGACCTAAATCCTTAGGAAATTCCAGGTGACTCATCCGGCATGATGTGTAATAACAGGAACATCACCTGCTCACATCCCTTCCCTGCAAAACAAAGCCCTGGGACCTCCCCAGAGCCTGCCCCTGGCCAGAAGCTGAGCTGCCTTTCAGTCACTCATGGGGCGCCTCCACGAGGCACCCCAAGTGGCTTTACTGTGGCAGGAGGTGCAATCTTTTGCCTGGAGGAGGGAGGAAATGAAGCAGCAGCCCCATGTCCTATGCTTGCTTTCTTTTTGTATAATAACTCCTTTACTAGAAATAATAGGTGTCCTGAGATGCCCTGTCTCTCTCCGGGGAGAACTCTCCGCGTGCCTGTCAGCATCCTACTGTTTGGGACATGCCAGCCACAAAGGAGAAACGCAGAGGCAGCTGCTGCGTGCTGCCCACCCCACCACCCTTTTATCCCCAAAGGATGCCCTTGAACTCACGAGGAGTTCTCTTCTCACTTCTCACCTCTTCAGAACTCGCCCACTGTGTCCTTCAGCACCTCCTCCCCTCCCTGAGGCCCCATCCTCCACCTGACCCTCAGCCTCTTCCCGAGAGGGTCCCGTGAGTCTGTCTTCAGCCCTCTTTCCTTCTTGAGCTGGGTCTCCCTCTCCACTGAATCCATCCACTCCCAGGACTTCAGCCAAACCTTCATCAGTGTTTCCAAAGTGAGATCTATGGGAGGGTCAATGGGATCGTAAGAGAAAAGTGTTCCAACAGCGGTTGGACCCGTGGGAGAAACGCTGGACCAAACAGGCCTCCTTTCTTCAGGACTCTCAGAGGCTTTACGCTGCGGGTGCCCTGGGGGCCCCAGGAGGGGGCACAGTATAGGCTTTCCAAACTCATTTGATGACAAAATCATGTCTCTGACTCCACTCTGGGCAAGGCTGTCAAACATGCTAATGGCTTCCAAAGCTGCACCTCCAGCCGCAGCCTCTCTCCTGACCGTCCTGCCGCTTCCTGGACACAGGCAAGCACCGGCATCTCCCTGTCACCCTTCGCCCCAAACGCCGTCCCATCTCCTGGGGCTCTGCCTCAGTTAAGCTGAAACGTCATCGTTTTCCCAGTTAAAGCTGATCAATGAATGCCAACGATTCATGACACTCTTAAACGCCCTCTCCTCTCCTGCTGCCATTTCTCTAAAGCATTCATCTCAGCCTCCTTCAGCGCTACAGCTTCCTAAGTGGGTATTTTGGGGGGGTGGGTAGCCCCAGTAATTTCCCCTAAATTTTAAATTCCACACAGTGGCCAGATTAATCATTATGAAGCTGCCGTCAGATAACCACCAACCCCCAACTCAGAACCCACCATCTCGCCTCATCCTATAGGCAAGACGGGGCTACGTAAGGGGGGCCCTCAGGGCTCTCTTCTCAGCCCGCCAACCCCGAGCCTCATCTTCTCCACTGTGCCTCCCAACAAGCCAGCCAACAACACCGCCAGCTGTCCTCCGAGCTCACCCCACCCTTTCACGCCATTGCTTCCATCGGCAGTGTCCTTCCCTCCTTCTCTGCCTCACCGTGTCTCACCTGTCCTTCAAGGCCCAGCTCATACAGGTCATCACAACTCCAAGGTCCCCCCACCCTACTTGGCACTGTCCTCCTGGGCACATACAGTTCCTCCCTCCTGTGTGCTGCTCCCTTGGCATCGGGCACAGTGCATCACCGGTGGACAGACACCTCCAGCCACTCCACCAGACTGTGAACGCCTAAACGTCCTCCCTGGCTCTGGACCACCAGCATCAGTACCTACTAGGAACTCAGCGAATGGTGACTGAATGAGTTAACACATAGGAGACACTGGCCACCCTGGATGATGTCCCCACTGGAATGCCACGGTTTGCTCCTCTGAACCCTCAGGGTACTTCATCTGCACCTACCTCTTGCTTTAATTAATTAATTAATTTATTTATTTATTATAGTTGCAGCACATGGGATCTTTCACTGCAGCACATGGGCTCTTCATTGCAGCTTCTCGCTAGTTGTAGCACGTGAGCTCAGTAGTTGCGGCGCGAGGGATTAGTTGCCCCGCAGCATGTGGGATCTCAGTTCCCCGACCCGGGATCGAAACCACATCCCCTGCACTGGAAGGCGGACTTAACCACTGGACCCCCAGGGAAGTCCCCCCTCTTGTTTTCTATAAAAAGTATTTATCGTCCTGCCTTATTTATCCCAACAAGGCCAAAAGCACCTTCGTGTCAGGGTCTGTGACGCCTCTTTGAATTCCCCCACTTGGACTGGCATACAGTGACCAAGCAGGAAGTGCCCAGAGAATGACTGAGTGAGGAAGAGACAGGTAAGCAGGGAGGGCTCCCAGCCAGGGACAACATGGGACACCAGGGCCCTCACACCTGACATGGGTTCCCAACTGTACGTCAACAGGTGTCTCCTTGAGCCTAGTTCTTCTGAGTGAAAAGGGGGAGAGCTAGTCTAAGGGACTGAGCAAAGGCAGGGTCCTGGGGGCACAAGTTCTGGATCCCCATGGCCTGAGTTCAAAGCCAGCCTCTCCATTGTCTAGCTGCGTGAAGGGGACAAGTTCATTAACCCGTCCGTTCCTTGGTTTCCTATTCCATAAAATGAAAAATCACAGCACCACCCCCTTAGATAGTTGTTACAAAGATTCCGTTAACAGGCATGAACCACTCTGCACAACACTCAGTGAACAGCAAGTTCTCGAGAAACGTTTGCCATCTTCATCCGTCCTTTCATCCCCTTGCAGCTACGATGCCAGAGGCTGTGAGGTGGTAGGGGCCCTACCAACAGTACCGAATGGGTGAAGGCGGGGGTTCAAGGGCTGGGCAAGCAGAGAGGAAGCCGCGCCTGTCAGCGCCCGTGTCTCGCCGTGAGTCCTACCGGGGCTTGTTGGCTGACTTGTCCCCCACATTCACATCTTCCCAGCCGAGTGGCACCCCCTTCTCTGCCCACCAGGCTTGGAGGCTGTCCCTTCCTTTGGAAGAAACGGCCTAGGAATTCCTGACCCTCAGACGAGAGGCAAGGGAGAACTGTGCCAGCAGGGCACTCTGCCTCGGGGCCAAGTTCAAGAACATGCTGTCATCCTGGTCCACGCAATCTCGAGGGGAATTCACAGCGAGTACCCGCCCAGGACAACCTGCGGCCTGAACCACCAAGTCAGGCAGTGGGGCTGCCAAGGCAAGCACCAGCTCTGATGTCTGTCGACTTCAGGGCGCCCATGGCCATGGTGGGGTAAGGGCTCAGCCTCCAGAGCTGAAAGCCCAGAGTCAAGTTCACACTCATGGCCTTTAAGTTATCAAGGGTTAACACAGCTTCCAGCCTTCAGAGTTTGTGTTTAAAAACTCCATCAGTCCTTTCCCATCGGGAATGTGACCTTCCCGCTGTAGAGCCCAACACTCACAGTGGTATTATTTTACAAAGATGATAAAACAGATCCCCCAAAGTTACAGTTCACACTGCCCACTTGTCAGCCTGTATCAAAAGGTTTTCAAGCAGCTCCCCACGTTCCAAATGAGGACTTTCTTCATCTGATGCTATCAGTCAAGGACTGGGAACAACTGGGAACAAAAGCCAGGCCAATCCACTCTGATTCACCAAGCTTGGATATTAACTCCTTCTTTTCCTGAGCCACAAATCAAACCCCAGCAATACAGGCTGGAAAAGAATCAAACTCACATTTTTCTAAAGCTACCAGACCAACACAGAAAAAAAAATTCCCCTCAATAAAAACTGAACAAATATTTAATTTGTTCTGAGCCCTCCGGCAGGCCCCACGCTGAAGCCAAAGGATGCTCCTGGATTAGAAAAGTGAATCTCAGAAAAATGACCCAGAAATCAAACATCTAAGGGAAGGTTGTGGAAATGATGGCCCAGCTGCTCCAAAACATCATGAGATAATGCAAGATGATCAACGAGTCATCTAAGTACGGAAATGTGTTTACAAAATAACAATGAGGAGACAGAAGGAAAAGATGGACATGAACTATCATCTCAAAGGCAAAGCGCAAATATATGTGCCTGATCCACAAACAGCAGAGGGACCGAGATGAAACAAAAATATTTGTGTTAGGGCAGGGGGATTATGGGTAACTTGGCTTTTTTCCCCCCCCCCGAATTCCTTATATGGTACTGTTTTAAATAAAAATGACATCATTGTCAGATGAGGTGCTCAGATAAAATCCAAGTAAGTGTATCTGAAACAAGTCCCCGAAAGCCGGGGGCCGCGGTTTGCACCGCTGCCTGTGGCTTTGCGTCAAACCACACACGGATGCTTGCTGACCAGAGACCCTCGTGTCTCTCAAGCACAAGGTTCGGGGCTTTTTCATTCACTCATGTCTAACCACCTCCCTGGGGAAATACAAACCTGGCACACGGCTGCCTTCCCTGCCACCACTGTTCTCAGGTTTCCCGTTCTGTGGGTGACCCCAGAAACAATGTAACCAGAAACCTGATGGGCTGCACTGGGCAGATGGTGGGGGTCGGAGCAGGGGAGCCTCAACTTCAGGGCCCCCTCCACACACGGGCCACCAGGCAGGGCTACAGCTAGAGGGGGACTGAGTCATCCAAAGAGCTACTTACCCAAGTTATTGTGTGCTGGGGACATCGGATTCGGGGATAGGTTTGGAGAACCTAGGAGGTGAGACACAGCTGTGAGACTTCGGAAAAGACTGTTGGCCTGGGGAGCCAGAGGACAGAACGTTTGCATCAAGGTGGGGCAGGAAGAAAACCCTGGACTGAGCCTCCACGGTCCAGGAGAAGACCAAACCCCACATCCTCGCCTGTGCTTCCCCTTCCCCGGGCCCCAGCTTCCTCATCCGTGGAACCAGCGGATGAGAGGATGACCTTGGAGTCTCTTCCACAACTCGACGGTTTGATGCTTCTCACCAAGCCCCCGGGCACAGGGCTGCTGCATTCCCAGCCTGGCTGCACAGACCTCACACTGACCCTCCCTGTTAACTGAGCCCCCAGAGGGACAGAAGGAGCAGGGAAGACCCCCTCCACAGCTGCTCCAGACCCCGGGCAGCGAAGGTAAGGCTTGCAGCTGCCCAGATCTCACCAGTCTTGTTCACACGGCTCAGGACCTGCAAATACCAACGCAGCCTTTTCCCCAGGTTTCAGGAAACTCACTGAGCTGCCTCGGACACCCGACAACTCAGCAACCAGGCTGACATGATGCTACACGTGGGAAAAAGTCCTAACGACCCAATTCTTTCTACTCTAATATCGTTACTCTACCTGTTTTCTCCCCCGAAAAAAGAAAAAAACCCACAGGGAGTCAGCCTTCCGAAAACCAAGTGACTGCTCTTCCAGAAAGCAACACTGGGCTGGCCCCCCCTTTGTCCCTGCACCCATGGGGCTCCAGCTCTGGAGAGTTGCTTATTGACTGACAGCCCTGTGATTTCAGCCCCGGCTCCACCCCCTGAAGTCTACAGTCCGCACAGCTGGGCCTTAAGCTTACGCTGCCTTGAGCTGTTAACGGGGGTCCGTGCCTGCTCTTAACTCAGCTGTAACCTTCTTGAGGACCCAGGAGGAACCATGGGTTTCTTTTTCACCCCTAGCACCCAATCTTCGGAGGGATGTGGAAGAGTCACAGAAAGAGCAGAGCTTCCGAATGTGCCACGGGGTCTGGCCATGGTACCACTTATCAGCCATGGGACTTTGGCAAAGTGGTTCGACCTCTTTGAGCCTCGATTTTTTTCCCCTCGGGTATAAAACGGGGAGAATCCCACCTATCGTGTGATTCGTGGAAATGCAGTGGGATCGTGCCTATGAAAATGCCTATACCATAGCTGGTACACAGTATGTGCTCAGTAAATGTTGGTCCTCTGATTTGTGCTGGCCCGAATGACGGAGACCCAGGAAGGCAGGGGGACCTTCTCACTGGTCTCAACAGACCTGTGTGCATGTCCGGGGAGAAGCAGGGCTGGACAAGGTGATCCTCGGGCCCCACATGAGGCGCTACCACATCTCAACTGTCAGGGAAGCCAAGTCCATGAGCAACTGGACTGGTTTGAGAGAAGAGCAGAGAATAAATAGGAGACCCCCCCACGGGCTGGCTGGGGTCCACAAAGCCCAGGCACACATTCAATAAATCAGTAATGTTCACAACAGGTACACTAAGGGAGGAGAGGAGGGAGGGAGAGACAGAGAAGGTGGAGCAGAAAGGGAGGAGAGGAAGGGGAAGGGACAAGAGCTGAGAGGGTGAAAATGTGGCTGCTCGTCCCATAGAAGACCCTCTCCTTTGGTCTGTTCACTGTTTTGTTTTCTTTTTTTTTTTTTTTGCAGTACGCGGGCCTCTCACTGCTGTGGCCTCTCCCGTTGCGGAGCACAGGCTCCGGACGCGCAGGCTCAGCGGCCACGGCTCACGGGCCCAGCCGCTCCGCGGCATGTGGGATCTTCCTGGACCGGGGCACGAACCCGCGTCCCCTGCATCGGCAGGCGGACTCTCAACCACTGCGCCACCAGGGAAGCCCGGTCTGTTCACTTTTATAACAGTAAAGGCAGCCCTCGCGTTACTGCTCTTTCCTTTACTGTGCTCTGCAGATGCTGCATCTTTTACATAATGAAGGTTTGTGGCAACCCTGCGTCGAGCAAGTGTTATCAGCACGGTTTTTCCAACAGTATGTGCTCACTTCGCACCTCTGTCCCATTGTGATCATTCTCACAATATTTCTAACTTTTTCACCACTATTATGTTGGTAATGGTGATCTGTGATCCATGATCTTTGATGTTACTACTGCAAAAATGATTATGACTCGTTGAAGGCTCAGATGATGGTTAACATTTTTTAGCGATCAAGTATTTCTTAAGTAAGGTGTGTATACTGCTTTTTTAGCCATAATGCTATTACACACTTAATAGACTATAGTGTAAACATAACTTTTACATGTACTGGGAAATGAAAAATTTGTGTGACTTGCTTTAAAGTGGTTGTCTGAAAGTGAACCCACAGTATCTCGGAGGTTTGCCTGTAATCATTCCACAAACGTGAAGAGCAACCAGGAGGGAAGGGGGAAAGGAGAGGGAGAAGCAATACAGCATCTGCAGAAATGCTGCTTAGCTGGCTTGCTTCCCATGCCAGCGTTTCATAGCTGTACCCTTACAGCGGTCACTTGGCATTGAATACGGAAAGGTCTTCGAGATGCATTCCGGCTGGGTCCACACTGTCAGCCACCTACCAGGGGTGTGTCGGGGTATGTGTGCTAAACCCCAAGGGCCATGATGCCCAGGCTACATATCAAGTGACCACGTTTACAGTAAACATGCAAGTCTCCCGCATCCTCCTTTGGGGAATTACGCTCCTTCTGGGCCGCGTGCAGGGCAGGTGGCCCCACGGTGTCAGGCGGCTCTGTGTGTACAAGGCATGCCCGCCGTCAGGAGGAGGGAACATCTGCTCGGCCCCCTCCTCCTCACCCAACCACACGCAACACAGTGCACATGCGATGTGGCAGCTGGGGTTCAATTCAAGAAACTGCTGGTCTGGAGCCAATTTGGCCCCTTAACAAATGAGGCGGGAACATCTGGAGATGTGGCTGGAGATGACTGGGCTGGGTCCCTCACGGCAGGAACACACAGATCACATTTGGTCATCACATAAAAATCGATGCTTTGGGGCCTCGACTGCCACTAGCAAAGACCCTGCCTCTGTTTTGGCTCTCCTGAGCTATTTCAGGTGATGGAGCCCACCCTCCATCCTACTGCCGGCAGCATCTCGTCTGCTTAAAGGCTGTGGGGGCTCCTCCTCAGCCCCCGGCCACACTCGAAGGCTTGAGTGCGGGGCCCTCCTGTCTCTGGAGGAGTACGCTCCAGCCACCCCAGAACTCACCAGCTCTCCTGCCCACGCCCCCGACTCTGCCTGGTACACCCTCTACCTGCCCTGATGGCCTGGCCAAACCCTACACGTCTCCGACATTCCACTCGAGAGAAGCCTACACTGCGAGGTGATGCTCGGCACCCCCAACGCCCCGTCCCCAGGCTGGGTCACGTGGCCCCGCTCTGTGCCCTGATGCCACACGGCCTGCTCTATCAGGGCACATATGAGAAGGCACGGTGACTGCGGGCTGTCTTGTCGGTCTCCCCCACGAACTGTGAGCGGCTTCGCTCCTCCTCTGTCCCAGACCCGAGCCCAGTGATTGCTCTGTACATACTGGATGGAGGGACAGAGGGAGGCATGGGGGAGGGCGGGCACTCAGGCTTAGGAGCAGAGCCCCACGAGACTCTGACCTGCGTCCATGCTGTGGTTCATCTGGTGGTCACTGGTCTCTCCATCTTCACTCAAGTAGCCTGGTGGTGGGGTTTCTGGGAATTGAAAGGAAGGTGGTTCATTAAATGCCCTCTCTGGTTTGCCTCTTGAGATGCCCTTTGCAAACTCACACATTCACACCATTATGCCAGGGGGAGGGCGCCGAGGAGCTCTGGGCCTTAGATCCCTGGCTCCCACCTTCCTCATGCCCTTCTTCCTTCCTGCTCCCCACCTGGATCATGACCACCTTTGTTCACACCATCCCTGACTCCCAAGTCTGAAATGCCTATTCCTACAGCCTCTGCCGGGCTAAACTTCTCCCCATCCCTCAAGGTTAGGTTTAAGCTCCGCCTCCCTCTCAGGGAGGCAGTGGACTCACCCCTGCCTCACCCATCTCTGTCCTCTGAAGGGCAACAGCCTCAAAGCGCCCTTTAGCTTTACTATCTACCCGTGTGCAGATCCATGGTTATCTGCTGTCTCGAGAGGATGTCTTAGCTCCCGAAGTGGGATGCAAGTTCCATGACAGCAGAGATTGCGATCTATTTCTCTGAATGACCCCCAGACCCCGACTCAGCTCTCTGCTTTGCTGGATGAACAGAGTGGGCAACCTACCTCTAGGGACCCGCACCACCTGTGAAGGATCTGTAAGCCTGGATTTGTAAAGCGGGTCCCTCCTTAACGCTCTGACCCACGCGCAAAGGCCCGCGGTCAACCTCAGCACGGTGAGCTCACTCAGGGTGAAAGGCGCGTCCAAACTAGCCAGCTCTGAAAGTAAGGCGGCACATCGCTGCCCGGCCACCTGCGCTGGGACTGGCTAAGCTCCGCCAAGCACTTTTCCTGGACGCCCAGAGTGCTGGTGATTCACACATTATTTGCATGTAAATGAGGGGCTTCTAAAAACATTTGCACTCTGCCGGCACAGCCCACTTCTCCCAGTGGAATAAAACCTCCCACCCAGCTTGTAACCCTCCCCGGGCTTACTTACAGGGCCAGTTCTCCGCACACTGCCCGGCCCTCAGCCCTCTGCTCGCCCGCTGCCTCTGCAGCCCCCAGACTGTCGGGGATCCTGCCTGAACTCCAGCCCCGGCCGCGAGGGCGGTGAGAGAAACACAGCGTTGCTATTTCCGCTTCCAAAATAAATGACTGCACTGAGGCCCGGCGGGAGGGTCACGCCGCCGCTCCTCCGTGCCAAGAAAAGCATCATTAGCGAGTGGGGAGCCAAGGCCACGGGTCCTCTCCCCACAGGGATGCAGTTCTGAGTCAGGGGCCTCGGCCCAGCGTGTGTGCAGAGACCCGGTGACGGGTCTATCTGGCCCCCGCCCCCTGGGCCGGCCTCACTGCCCACGTGTGCATACCTGGAATATTGCTCTGGGGCTCGATGCCGGCAGGGAAGTTAGTGTTTTCGGGGATGGAATGGCTGTAGTCGTCCAGCGGGGGGAACTCGGCCGGGATCTCTGTGTGGCGTGGCACCAACACAGGAGGTAGAACTGTCCAGAGGAAACAGAGCAGAGGTGGATCAGAGTCGACGCCAGGCTGGCACCAAAGCCCCTGCACCCCCAAATGCACCACAGGCCCTTCCTCACAAAGAGGACTGGGAGAGAGGGGAAAGGGGGAGGGAGAAGGGGGAGTGGGGTATAGAAAGGGGGTAGAGGGAAGGGGAGACAGGGAAAAGGGGAGAGGGGGAAGGGGGAGAGGGAGGGGGAGAGGGGGAAGGGGAGAGGGAGGGGGAGAGA